CAGACCAGCCTGCTTTATGCCTCATAACAAAAATATCGAAACTCTGTGACAGTTAATGGGACGAAATATTTGGAATCACTTTCAGAGTCTTTAGTTCTAAAATAACGGAGGACAAAAGCAAAACGTACGGAGCCCTACTAATGTTTACACCTAACCAACATTACTAACAGGTGAACTCCTTTGTACTGCTCACACAGTTTGTTGACCCTTGATTTCCGTCCCTGAGCGAAACCTTAAGGAGTGTTTCTGCATCCCATAAATTCATAGGATACTTGTGCATTAATATATAGGCATCAACGATGTGGTAGTGGAATAGTCCAATTCCCTTTCGCTCTGGAGCTCACAAATGGAGTTCCTGCAGGTAGTCACATAGCGACCAGTGGGGTAGGATGGAATGAATTCGACTCCACCATCGCATCACGGACTTCTGGCTTTGTCGGTTGAGATTGGGAATGAAATTAATATGTTTACTGACAGCTGCACGAGACCATCTATTCAGACCGCATTATGACTTAAGTATACCTACAGTACTTGCAGATAGGTAAACTATTTTCTGCTAGGACGTTGTCTGGGACATAGATGTCGACGTTTATACCCCTAGTAATACCTATGACTTTCCACTACGCAGTACGAAATATTTAGAATATGGCTAAGCATAAAACTGAGCAAAATCTCCGATCTGCCTTTGAAGACCTTGAAATCTTTAAGGAGCCCCTACAGCAAAACAAATGAAGCTCACGCGTTAACTGAATAAATATTATTTTACATACCTGTGCTAGTAATCGAGTAGTATAACTTTTCAGCAGATTACTTTATTTCATTCTGCACTAAGCCGCTTTTTCGCCCCTTGATTTCTGTTACCATACTTCTTTTTCTAAACAACTGAAGTAACATGAAGTAATTGTCGCAGCCCTTCTTCCATTCCTCTCCTCTCACTCTCTGTTCCGTTATTATGACCGAAATCTGTCCCCCTTTAATCCCTCAATATCACAGCCCGTAATTACTACTGATTATTTGCCTCAGCTGGTGTTGAATCCTCCCTCCCCTATATAATTGTACTTGCCTGCTGATCGATAATCACCCAATTATCGGGCCCGCATCCGACGATGACAAAGCAATTGTGGTAATTAGTGAGTCGAACGTGAAGCATCAAGCCAGTAGCATATCAATTAAGACCCAAGCGGTGGCTACATAAGTGAATAATTATCGCACGCACACGGATGAAAACTATAAATACCGCGCAACCTGTGCATGTTTCTACCCTAACTATGATTATGCTACAATCAACTATGATTCAGGATTCCAAACGGAATCCGAGTCGTCAAAACTCTTGATCCAGTGATCGTATCCCCTTCTTCTGAA